GCTATGTCACATTGTCACATATGGGTTAAATGAGGAGGACACACTTTGTTGTTGTGCACTCTGTGCTATGGTGTGTCAACAATGACCACTGATCATTTAATTAATGGCAGATTCAGGACACCCAGTAATTGACAAGGACCTTTTAATACATTAAATTATGCATAGATTTGGGCAGGGGGGCCAAAAGAGATATTTTGTCGGGGGGCTTAGAATTTCTAGCTACACCCTTGCTCCCCTCCAAGGAGGTACGAATCTGTGTGGACCAAAAGAGGACAACTCACTGCAAAAGAAGAGTGAACTGTCTCTGGCAGGTTCATAACCCGCCGGAAGTAGCTACCTTAGCTGGGGAAAAGGTGGCCCAACCAACACGATCATCGTATACTCCGAGCAATCACCTCAGGCACTTAACCTGTAGTGTTACACTGGAAGATGGAGCCCTTTCTGCATAGGGTGTTAGTGAAGTGGCAGAGGGTGCGAGGGGGTCCCACAGGGGCACGAACCACCGCTTCTCACCCCATTAACTAGAGCGCAGAGGAAGACACAGGCTGGAAACTCAGGAGCGGCGAGGATGGCAAGGAGAGGAGAGGGCAAAAGGAGATAGCGGGGATGGAGGGGAGATTTTCAGCATGCCTGCAGGGCAAGACCAAGAAGATAGGGAAGCCCAGGAGAAGGTGAGTGTGTTCGGAGAGAGGGAGGAAGGGAAAGGGGGCAGGAGACAAACCTCAGGAGAGATTCTGGAAAAAAGATGACTGGGAGGGACTCAAGATTTGGAGACTGGGAGGGGTTCAAAAGAGGACCCCGGCAGGGATTCAGATCGAGACCTGAAGGGGTTCAGAACAGGAGACCGCGAGGGGTTAAGAACATGATACCCCTCTGAGTTCAAATCAGGGGATCAGGAGGGTTTCAGAACAATACACTGGAAGGGGTTCAGAACAGGAGACCGCGAGGGGTTAAGAACATGATACCCCTCTGAGTTCAAATCAGGGGATCAGGAGGGTTTCAGAACAAGACACTGGAAGGGGATCAGAACAGGAAACCGGGAGAGGTTCAGAATTGCAGACCGGGAGAGGTTCAGGATTGTAGACCGGGAAGGGTTCAGAATTGCAGACCGGGAGAGGTTCAGGATTGCAGACCGGGAAGGGTTCAGAATTGCAGACTGGGAAGGGTTCAGAATTGCAGACCGGGAAGGGTTCAGAATTGCAGACCGGGAAGGGTTTAATTTAAGACCAGGAGGGGGTCAGATGGAGAGCAGGAGAGGCTTGAACTGAGACTAAGAGGGGATCAGATTGAGACATGAAAGTATTGAAAGGGAGACCAGAAAGAGAGAGAGCAGAAAATCAGAAATGTAGAGCATCGAATAAGATTATGGGAGCGGCAGAAAGAGGAGTTAGATGGGGAAGGTGGGGGAGAAAAGGTACGGTGGAAAGGAGAGGAGATGATGGGAGATGGTGCAGAGGAAATGAGGCTAAAAGGGAGGAGACACAGCAGCTCCTGATGATGAGGATGAAGATGATGAGGCAGGCACAGCGATTGTCAGGCCCCGGCACCTTCCTCTGGGAAGGGGGGGCTCTGGAAGTGGGTCAGGCTCTCTCCCTGTGTTACGTAACCACTCTCACATTGCGCTAATCAGGTTATTTTCTGTGGATGCGTGGGATTTCACAGCGTGGTGGTGGTGGAGCCCTCTCAGTGAGCGCTCCCAGCCCCCGGCGTGAAAGCCGAGGGAATGAGACGCGCTGTCACAGGGCACGGGAGGCAGCTGGAGAGGCAGACGCCCGGAAGGTTCCCCAGTCGCCAAACGAGACCCCTCACTGCTGTTGGGCTGCTTAGCCTATTAGATGATCTTGACCAAGGGTACAAGAGCAGCTCCTGGCTGCTTCTCCACCATGGTTCAGGGATCCTGAAGGCAGAAGTCTGTGTCCAGGGCATCAGGCGTTTTGCTTTTGCATCTGCCTGGTTTTGTGAACCTCATGCTGCCAGCCAGTCACCTCACCGGTCCTGCTATTAATTTGTAAAACCATACAAAACATATACACAAAAAGTGTACCCATAATCCCCTTCACAAGAACCAAGCAATCATAGCACGAGAGCCCAGAATGACCCCCAGAAAGGCCCAGCCTTCGGGTATTAGCCTCTAATGCCTTTGAGAAGGAGTTTCCGATGCTCAAACGGGTCGCCATGCTTCCAGTGGGGTCGAGAAGCTAAGGCCCCAGCATCTCCCGTTTTCTAACATGCTGAGGGCCAGACATTCGCTGAGAGAACTATGCATGACGCCCAAACAAAATGCACGAGAGTGACTACGAAACCAGTTTGCTGACTGAGTTTCTTCACTTTTGCAGAAGAAGCCCTGGGAAGCACTGCAGCATCCGGCACAGAGCTGCAACCTCAAGCTGAGAGAACATGCATCCGTCCTACATAACTGTTTACCAGGGACCAGGATGGCTGCCCATCACAGCTGGGAGGACATCTTGGAATAATTTCAATCACAGAAATAGGATGGAGCTATGGTAGCCCTCGTTGATAGTGCCTTCTATCTGTTTTTCTTATTTTTTTATTTTTTTTACAGGAGCAGCACACTCAGCAAAGAAGAAACAGAAATATCACTGAAGTTGCCATTACGGCCAGAGGCAGCTGGATAGGCTACTGTTTGCTGGTCATACCACAGACTCAAGGCTGAAGGCTTTTGGCTGGACAATGCGGAGCCGCTGATGCGCACAGATAGCACACCCACACCATCACACACAGTCGCAGCTCTCGCTGGAAGGGTTCAGGAGTATCTTTCTTTACATAACTGGCCATTCAGCTCACAGCACTTCTGAAGCACTCACGGGCATTTTAGCCCATGTGACAGTACGAAAGCTCTCAGCTTTCAGCTTTGCTGTGCACGCTCTCTCTCTCTCTCTCTCTCTTTCGCTCTCTCTCTCTCTCGTTCTCTCTCTATTTATCTTCACATACTAAGAGGAAAAGTGCATGTTCAGAACATTTTGTTTATAGCTAACAGCCTCACGCAAGCCTCGTGTTATGTGCTATGATGCTGTCAGTGGAACATGTGGCCAAAGTCGCTGTCGGTCAGCCAGCCAATGCTGTGGAGGCGGGACTCCAGGATACATCATTGTTATGGACTATGTTATGGATAGACTACCTAGATCCCCATCTGCCTTGGATGAAGAGTGACTTCTAGGAATGTGGCCCTCAGATTCGGAGGATGCTGAAGCTGGTGGACAATCTTATGAGAGAGATACCGAGTAGGAGAGAGACAGCAGTAATTACTGGTGACAGCCATTCAAACCAAAGAAGCAGGACATATTAATGAGGTCATTAGCACCTGTCAGAAAGCCTAATGACCCAAATTTGAATCCATTACTGCTTGTGATGAGTGACATTGGAGACGATGCCTGTCTGCCTTTCTGAGGAGCTTTGAATCTTTTATTTACATGTAGATGTTTCTTCGTGGTGGCCTTCATGATGTGTAAAAAGCATAGATTCCCCCCTTTTCCCTGGACCCTGTCCCGGAGGGGAGTTATTAAAACCATTTTTCTTCCTTCTCAGATGATGCTGTAATTACCTGACTCATTCCTGTTTGATTTATTCATTTTTTTAACCCCTACTCTGTGGATGGTGACACAGTGAGGTCCTTCCGAAGAAGCCCAGGCTAGTTTCTCAGCTTATAAGAAATTCATATCCCAAGCTCCCTGCCTGAGAGGCCCATGAATGAAGCACAAAGCATCTATCGCCAAAGATCCCTCTCTCAATCTCCCCTTCCCTTAAAACCCCGGGTGACAGATGGGTGGGTTTTAAATGTCTGTTCCTCTGTTTTATTCTTTTTGCTAAAATTTTCATCCTCTCAAGCACGCGCTTCAGGGAAAATAAAAAGCATTACAGTCAAATTCAGAAACACTGATAAATATGCTACTGACACCAGTTTCCTGCCCTAATTACCACTCGATCCATTAGCCCACCTGCAGGATTAGCAGCTAGAAGCCGCCGTGTGGAGCCCCTGAAGCAGAGGAGCACCTGAGGGTGCCTGGTGGAGAAGGACCAGCACCTGTCACCTGGAGGTTATAGGTTCAAAACCCATATCCAGTAGGAGACAGACCCTCACATTCCTTTGAAAGATTCTGAACCTGAATGCCAGCAGTGAAACAACCTGCTGTGTCAGTCAATTACCCACCCACAGGTCAAGTGACACTGTAAAAGCCATCGTTTTACTGTGCTTCGTGGAGAGCGAGCCATATTTTTAGAGTGAGAGACTGGCCTTCATCTAACCAACAATCAGCAAGAAGAAGGGGGGTGTCAGCTGAGCTACTGGTGGCTGCAGGGGACAAAAAGGATGCCGAGTCAGAGCGACATGCTCCATCACTCCGAAGGAAACAGCACAGGTCACTAAAGCAGCACTGCAACCCAACCAGTGAGGAATTCTTACAGTATTTATTACTTTTCTTGTTTTATTTGATTTTCCGGTAACACTGTGTTCTAAGTCCTGCTCTTCAGCTATTAATAAATTGCTACTAATCATTTCATAATATATTAGTAAATGGAAATATTAATTCAGAAATTTAAACATTTAATAGAATTGTATCTTGCTTGAGATAATTATAAAATAGCTTGTAGATCACTTGAATATATAAATAATGGGTTGGTAAGCATGCTTATAAATGAGTTAAAAAGCAATTGTTTACAAGCTCTTAAGTACTTAATGAGACTTTATAATACATTTCTATGTTTGATTGCAACTGGATGTTTTTATTTACTAATATATTATCAAATTACTAGTAACAGTTTTAGGACACTTTTATCCAAAGCAATGGACATTTTTTTGGAAAATGGGGTCAGACAGTCCCTCGAGTGACTAAGGGTTAAGTGCCTTGTTCAGGTGCTACCGCTGGGATTTGATCCAACAACCTAACGATCATAGGCAAACCATCCTGACCCGCTGAGCCATACACTGCCCCCCCCACATGCCCGTAAGCATGGGCTCCGCTTCGACAGCCATAAGTACTCACGCTGGCAGCGGCCCTCTCGCTCCTCAAACCCAGGCTTGCAGACGCAGCGGCCGATGGGCACCAGCCAGCCGCCGTCGGCGCCGCAGAACATGCGGGGTGGCTCCAGCTCCTGGGCGTCACCCACGCAGGAGCCGCGCACCTCCACCAGGGCTGAGTCGCCACCCGTCACCGTGTCAGGGAAGAGCGCCAGGTTGTGCGCGGCGTGTGGGCAGCGCTTGAAGAAGACGCGCACGGAGACCAGGGCGATGCAGGCGCCCACGTCCTGGAAGGCCAGGTAGAAGCCCCTCATGGTGAGCCCACCGATGTCCCGCACCTCCGTGTTGAGCTTCATGACACGGTCACCCACGTCGGTCTGCGTGAAGCTCTCGTCCGCGGCGATGGTGTCGATCTTGGTGTACTGGCTCTCTCGCACGTGTCGCAGCCCCCCGTTGTCTGACTCGTGGTAGTACAGGTTGAAGGTCTCCTTGCAGGTGCCTGGCACCCCCGGCAGGCTGTTGCAGTCACGCAGCGTGAACTTCATCTCCACGTAGACGCGGCGGGCGCCCTGGCGGGCGATGTGCCCCGTGCGCAGCCAGTTGTTCTGGCTGGCCTCCATCACATTGCACACCTGGTAGGTGCGCATGGGCGTGTTCTTCTCATCCATCACTGTGATCTCCTCCCACTGCAGACGGGAGACGGTAGGACAGCACATCAGAGGCTGCTCCGCTCTCGAGGAATTATCAGAAATTTGGGGACCTGTCATAACTTTTGTACTTGAACTCCACTCTAACTCTAAAGTTATTTCAAATTCATGTATTTTTTAAATGACTTCTCATACTCATTAATGACTCCTGGCATCTGATAATTGACTAATTCTCTATAACAGTGTTTCCTAGCTCAGTCCTCAGGGATTCCTAGACAGTCCACATTAAAACCCTCACTGCTCGCAAAACACCAGTATTTGGTGTTTTTGATAGGCTGGGAATTTGGGGGGAGCAAAAATATGGTCTGTCTGGAAGTCCTCAAGGACTGGGTTGGGATTCACTGCATTATAATAATTCATAACTTAATAATGACTTGTGGTATTCAGTAATGGCTCATAACCATCTATTATAATTCCAACCACTCTGTAATTAATCATGGCATTCAAAGAATGACTCCTGACCATTCATAATGATTCAGGACAGTCAGTGATGACTCCTGGTATACAGTAATGACTCCTGACACTCTGTATCTGATGGCTAACATTCAGTAATGACTCCTGATGTTCGGCAATGACTCCTGACCATCCAAAATTATTCAAGACAGTCAGAAATGATTCCTGAGAATCACTAATGACTCCTGGTATACGGTAATGACTCCTGTCAATCCACTATGACTCCTGATGCTCTTTAACTGATGACTGACAGTAATGACTCCTGGCATCTGGCAGTGACTCCTGACCATCTATAAGGATTCAGCCCCACAGGCTGTGAATGAAGGGCTGGTCTGTGCACAACGTCCCCTGTGCCTGGTGTCTAATCTCTCATTACGACTAGGACTAAGAAGCCCTCCACACAAGGCAGGATCCAGGCGTAGCCAAACTAGGCAGCTGCCTGGGGGCCACTGAGTCAAAAAAAAATGTATATTATGTATTCATATAAATATAAATACAAATAATTACACTAAAGTAAAAAATAAAACGAAATGCATGAAATTAAAATGTTTCTCTGCAGGCAGTCTAACTATGGAGAGAACAGGAAGCTGCCTCGGGCCCCCAGTTATCTGCATTACAGAGGATGTGAAATGATCATCACATTTCTTGGTAGGAGGGCCTCTGAAGTACAGCTTTGCCTGGGGCCTCTGAAAAGGTAGATCCAGCCATGCATCGACACAGTCATGGGAGATCCCACCAATCAGCTTCCACTGAAGCAGAGGACCTGTGGTTAATGTAAAGGCCCAGCGGCTTCAACTCTCTGTGGCTGAAAGACTCTCTGTGGCTGAAAGACCCTCTGTGGCTGAAAGACTCTCTGTGGCTGAAAGACTCTCTGTGGCTGAAAACACTTCATTATATTTTTCCTCATACCCTGTAATATTGCTCATCCCTCTCTTTCTTGAAGGCCCCCTCATTTATCCGTGACCATGAATAATCTCCAAGTTAAGCAGCCCTCAAACATCTGGTTCTCGGCCGGCCCCGTCTCCATCAACAGAAAGGTAAACAGAACAGGGAAAGTTAAGCCAATTACGGCATCCCAAGTTCAAGGGTCAAGGGTCAGGCTCAGTAATCCCCCATGGATGATACCCCAGACGCCGGGCATGACCTTTCCCAGTGCAATTGGGCTGTTGAAAGGTCAGGGTTGTTGCCCTGTTGTCATCAGATTTTTGGTTCTTTTGGGTGGGTAAGGTGGTTATATCATGGACAGCTGCTGTGTGAATGTCTCCCCAGGCTCTGACACCCACTCCTGCTGGGTGAGTGACCGAGACAGGAAACAGGATGTGACATCATTTGTGGGTCATCTCGACCGTCGCCCTGTAGCTGCTATTATAGCACTCTACCCACTCTACACTGGTACCAGGGTGTAACAGAAACCCCCAAATACATATTACCAGTCGGTTTGTGTCTATACATGCATAACCTCACACATGCGTCTACATAGTGAGTGTGTGTGGTTCTTTCAAAATAAGATGGATCAGATGATGATGCCCTATGTCACCATCCTCATCATCATCATCATCATCATTACCTTCCTCTTCCTGTGGCGCGGGTCCGGTTCTGTACTCACCCCCTCTGCAGGGTAGGCCTCCCAGCCCAGGTCCCCCAGCGCTGACATGGAGTCCAGGAGCGTCACTGCAGAGGAAAGCAGGGGACAGACTATCACCCCACGGCACCATTTTCAGCACCTGCTCAGGTAGCAACCATCAGCTTCTAGGCTGTGCTTGTCAGTGCCGCTCGAGACCCACGTGAGGCTCTCGGCAAGCTTCACTGCCGCCACCCCCGTCTGACTCAAAATGAAATCGGATTGCTGATTTACCGTTCTCTCAGAAGGTGGTCACCTAATGGGCCGACCAAGAAGCGGTCCTCGTACTTTGAGGCCCCGTCCCTGGTTTTAATGGTTCTCCATTTACATCTGGTATCTTGCCATTAAAATGTAAAAAACAAAGAGTCCTGAGGGCAAATGGCCAACCCCAGCGTTTGGGGTATTGCGGGAGAGCGCTGAAAGCTCACAGGCGACAACGTCAGCTGCAGAGTATTTGTGTGGGGTCTCCTGGGTGGACAGAGAGAACGCGCAAGGTCACGCGTAATACACGGTGAATTCTTAATGCGCAAATATCGATCCCGGGGCCGCTGCACTTCTCAGGGGAGGCCACGGCTTTAAAAATAAAACCCACAGTAATGCTCAGAGCCTAAAAATTCACATCGCTAATCCTCCATATTTGTGCCGAATACCATTTCACCAGCATCCTTCGCTCCTTCTTCAAGACCTAGTCCAGATCATGGTGGATGCAGACTTGTTTTAATGGCCCGTCTCTGGGCTTCTTCCACATCAGCCCAGGATTTATGTGTCTGAAAAGCTATCAGATATCAGGAATCTGGGGGCAATCTCCAGGTTAAATGGTGGGCTGCTTCGATTTGATTTCAAGGGGCTGATAGGATTTGTAATGATTTTCCCGTATCTTAACTGCACTATGGGAAGACTTTCACCTAGGCTATGAAGCTTAATACTGAATCTATGAAAGCAACGAAAACACTTTTTTAATTTAGCCCATTTACTAATATTACTGGATCTTTCATTAAACAAAGACCTGGGCCTACACCCTGCCTTAGCCCGTTTAGCTTTGAAATAGAAACATGTTGTTTGTGTCCCTTTCTGCCATTTTGTTAAATCTGCCTCCATTCCCCTGCTAAAAACAAACAGGTTTACTCCCTTTGCTACAGAACAGAATCATGTCATTCATTCCGCTGTTTCTTCAATATAACTTTGATAGTAAAAGTGTGGCCATTTTTACAAAGGCATATTCTTCTGATGTCACCCCAGGTAAGGATGTTACTCTAGCCAACAATAATGGCAGCCATTTTGGTGCCAGGACCAAGCAGAAAACAGCCTTAGTGATGTCATGTACGTCTGGTCCGATAAGGACACAGTCTGCCGTGTTTACAGAACACTCAGTGACTGTTTAACGTCTCACACCCGTCAGTGATTGGTGTCAAGCCAAAGGAGCTCGTCAGCAGTTATTAAAAGAGTACAGACTCACACAGGGTTCGGGAAGCCTGTTAACATTCCACACCTGCTTTCTTCAGATCTGCTTGATTGTCATTTCCGATTGGAACGCCGCTCTGAACTGGCGTGCGCCCAGGCACTGTGCGAAGTTAATTTTTAATCACCTCCCCCCTCTGCTGACAATTCATTCCTCCTGGAACTCTCTGATAACACACACACACCCAATTCATACAAGTCACAGCGACCCAGCTCCCAGCCCATCAAGGTCATGGACCCATCCACTCAATGAAGGTGCCAAAATTAAATTTTGCATGTACCAGCTAAGTGTCTGATGTGCAAAACTGAACTGTTGGGTAAACTAAAGAGCCAGCACATTTTTGTGCATCTGTAAATAACATATATATTTTTGCAAACTGCAGCCTGGTTCTTCTCTGTTTGTCAGTAATGAAGGGCTTCATCCTTGTCTTATGGGACTTCAGTCCTGCTTCTAGGAGCCTGATACGAACTGTCCTCGCAGTGCACTTCACACCTGTACTTAATATTTCCAATTCCTTTTGAAGGTCACTTCATGTCATCCTTTGATTCATGAGGCACAGTCAGATACCTAAGTTAACTGTCATCTCTGGCATTAGAAAGTCGCTTGAGCCCATCACCTGGCTGGTTTCTGGTATTTCCCAGTGTCTCCTGCTTCACCTTATTCTGTTGTACTGCTGTCTTATAAATATTGAACCTGGAAGCAACCTGGTGCTCAATGTAGCCTTCTGTCAGCAGAACAATGATTAAACCAGGATTTAAAAATGCAGATATGTTTAAAAATATAGAATGGTCTCATAGAATGGTTTTCCACTGCCGTATAGATATAAAAAAACACCCAGTAATTCAGAGTGGAAGGGAAATTGTTCTATGAAGTGGTCCCTTAGTTCAGTAGCCTCCAACCCTGCTCCTGAAGATCTATCACCTTCCAGAGCTTACACTGTCAAAAAAAGGTACAGGCCTGGTATGTTTTGTTCCCAAGGTATAAACAACATTAATGTACCCAAACTGTACAAAAATGTACATTTCTATACCTTAAATGGTGCCCTTACTTACAACTGGGTTACAATTGACAGATCCTAGTGACAAGTAACTGTACCCTCAAAGATACAAATTGGAACAGATGCTCCCTGGGTTACGATGGTCCGTGTTATGACATTTCCACTTTACAATGGGTATTCCAGTTCCATTCTGTTTTTCACTTTCGGTACCTAATTCAATAAATTACATAAGATGTTGAACAGTTTATTATAAAAAGGCTTGATTTTGCCCAACTGCAAGCTAATATAAGTGTTCTTTAGCATGTTTTAAATGTAGGCTCGGCTAGGCTATGATGTTTCTTAGGTTAGATGTACTGTATTAAAATGCATTTTTGCTTTATGACAAGTTTATAAGAACATAACCCCATCGCAACCTGGGAAGAGGTACTTTTTTCTCACTGCGTAGGTGCAGCCCTAATTTAACATACCTGTTGCAGGTAATCAGGCCCTTCAGTAGCATCTCAGTATCAGAGCCAGCTTAGCTTCAACATATATGGTTCCGGTCCTTCTCTTTGTAAGGTGTGTCAAATTAGGGTTGCTCCTGACCTCTGCAGAGTGGTAAATGGTGGTACAAAGTGATACAGGGTGGTACAAGCTCTCCCAGAAGCAGGGTTGGTGACCCCTGCCTTGAAGGCACCTCCTACAAAATTCTGCATCAGTGTCCTCGTACCGCGGTTACCCGGTGATGCGGAACAGATGGATGGAGAATAGATGCTCTGCTTCCAAGCTCAGCATTTCCACTCTCATCTCCAGCCGCTGGACTCAGACATTGCTCGCCTGACCCAGTAACACATTAAAAGCCCCTCGCAGCGGTGGGATCCCAGCATCCTGTTGGCCCACTTAATGTTAATCGAGCAGTCAGAGCTGAATGAGTTTCCCTTTCCGCTCTTTCTACCTGTTCGTGGCAGGATTTATCCATCGCATTGCAAACCACGACCCATGTATAAAGACCGACAAGCAATATTTCGGACATTAAGATATGCCGACCCAATAACAGCCATCTTCAGATAGTGTGGGCATCGTAAGAGAAGCAATTTGTCTTCCAGAAATCTTAAACATTTGGGCTATATTCACTGTACCAACTTCCTCAACTATAAAAGTATGTTTTTGTTCCTTTTTTTATAAATGTCAGGGACAAGTGAAATACCTTTAAAATACTTGAAATTTCTTTGCCAGCCTTGGGTTCTACAAAAGGCTATTGAGGACAGGTATACTGCTCCATTCCTTCATAAAAACAAAGAAAAAATGTCGATTTACAATGGGAACAAGGAGCCAGTTTTCAGCCGACTTTGCAGCTGACAGCAATTACCTTGGCCCCAGTCTCCCGCTTTCTCCGTTTATTTTCACGCGTGACGGTGTCGTATCACGTCACCTCCCCTCGTTTGTCCCTTGGCCTGTTTCGTGCTGCAATAATAAATACGGTTCAGTCGGGGGTCTCCCCACCCCCACCCTGACACATGAGTAAGGCAGCAGTCGTGGAAAGAATCACAGAGAAATTCCTCCCCCCGTTTGTCCAGAGGAACTTAAGACCTGCAAGCTGCCAGCCTTTATAACTCAATCGGGCTTCACCCCCCTCTGGGAGGGAAGATCTGACCTTTGTGCTAAGTTATATTCCGCGATAAACCAAAAGATTAGACATGCTTCTCTTAACCACAGGGCGGAGGACATGGATCTGGTTCAATCTGCATGCTAAACCCATCAGAACTTTAAAGACAAACAGGCATCATCATGCTTGCAGGGAAAGACAATAATATGGCCATTCCACTGTAGCAAATTTGAGTCGAAATATAGACTATTTGGCCTGACAGTTGCACTAGGAGAAACAGCAGTCACTGTCACCAGCTCCCATCCCCGACATTGTGGAGAGGCAAGTAATGACCTTGTGACACAGGCTGTGGCTTCAGCACTCAAACTGCATAACCATCGTTATATAACCCATTAGGACGTACGGTACAAATTGCACTCGAGTAGAGATGGTTGCATCACGTAGACCGTGTACACATGTACACATAGAAAAACGCTAATAACATGCATATAAGGACCTCTCTCATGGATCATAGGTACAGACTACCATCTCCCACAGAACTACACCCCTATCACATGGAGAACCAGGTCAGGGGGCACAGAGAGGTCATTCAGGAATAGGAGGAACCAGTAGGTTCTGGTTCAAATACCATATCCAGATACTGCTTAGGAGGCGGTACGGTGGTATGAGAAGATAAATCGACATGCAAGCTTTGAGCCAAGCACCTGCGTTTTTGTGGCTCTCGGGAGTACAGCGCAGAGTCCCACATCCTCAGGAGAGGACACCTCCCACAAGCACCTGCGTTTGTGTGGCCTTCGGGAGTACAGCGCAGAGTCCCACATCCTCGGGAGGGGACACCTCCCACAAGCACCTGCGTTTGTGTGGCCCTCGGGAGTACAGCGCAGAGTCCCACATCCTCGGGAGGGGACACCTCCCACAAGCACCTGCGTTTGTGTGGCCCTCGGGAGTACAGCGCAGAGTCCCACATCCTCGGGAGGGGACACCTCCCACAAGCACCTGCCTTTGTGTG